GAAGAGTACTATTAAATTACACAACTTAATGGAAAAATTTTTTTTTTAAAAAATCAAGGGAACATTTTTTTCAAATCTCACTCTTCTGCTTAATATCTTATAAACTGCTTATCATAACTTTGCTTCACTGAATTTTTCCTACTTTAACTTCAGCCAATATACCATTTCTCTATTCCATAAATACTCTTGTGTGTCTTCCTGGCACTTGCATTTCTGTTTGTCTCAAAAATACAGCTTCCAGACATTCTCTTGGTTTACTTTTTTTTTTTTTTGAAATCCAGAGTACATGCTATTTCCTCACATGATTTAGATCTAGTTGTATGATCTTTTCCACCCATGTGATTTACTTCCTCTGAAAATCTACTGAAGTGTCAGCTGTGAGTTGATTCTGATCTGACAGTACCTAACAACAACAACAACAAAAACAACATAATTTTATTAAAAAACTGAATTGCCACACAGAATTGTCCTGCCTTGTTGTTAAATTATTGTTCTTTAAACTCTATGGGAACAAAATCTATGACAATTCTTCACTACTGATTCCTGGGAGTATACAAGTCATACCATCAAACCTCCGTGAAGATTTGTTGAAAGAAGCTATATGTGAATGCACATCTCTGAGTACATAGATACACCAATCAATCCTTTAGGAACTTGGAATAAATTAGTGATGTCTTTTTGATTACCATGGCCAGCTTGAATTTCTAGCATGTTTAGCACTTTACGTTGCTCTGAACCCTGAAACATTCTGAGACAATCTCACTATCTCTGACACACCTACCATGATTACCACAGCAACTATGTCAATCCATCTCATCCAGGGTTTTCCTTTCCTCCGCTGTCCCTCCACACTTCCAAACAAGATGTCCTCCTCTAAAAACTGGTCTTTCTTTGCCAACATACCCAAGTATGTGAGATAGAGCCTCAAAATCCTTGCCTCCAAGGAACAGCTTGGCCACGACTTCTCCAAGACATAATTGTTAGTACTCTTTTCAATCCTTGGTATGTTCAATACTTTTCTGAATCAGACAGTCATATCATCTACTATGCCAGAAATTAAAAGGTAATGAAAAATGGAGTTAAAATCATAGTTAAAAAGGCCATTTTCCAATCCAGAAGAGATTGAAGTTGTTAATTACACTTTGTTCGGCTCCACAATCAACACTCTTGGCACCAGGAGTCAGGAACCCAATAGACAAATTACATTGGGGAAGTTGGCCATCACAGACCTCTCCAAAGTGTTTAAGAGCAATGATGTCAGTCTAGAGACTAAGGTGCACCAAATCAAGGTCACTGTCTTTGCAATTACTTGTTATTCCTCAGAAAGCAGGACCGTGGCTAAGGATGACAGAGAAAAATTAATGTCTTTGAGTTGTGGTACTGGAGAAAAGTATTGAACATATTTGGAGAGGGTGAAACCAAGTTTCTCCTTGGAGTCAAGGATTTTTAATCTGTCTGACATATTTTAAGCATGTGTCCAGCAGAGACTAATCCTAGAAGAGTGGAGGGAATGTAGGAGAGGAAGACCCCAGATGGGATGGATTGATAGGGTAATTGGGGCAATGGGACTAGATGTGATGGAGACTGGCTCAGGATAGGGTAGGTTCAGAGCTTGTATGTAGGGTTACTATAAGTAGCAATGGCACCACAACAACAATGTGTCTCTGTCACTATACCTGTGTCATACGGTTTTGATTATACCTCCTACTTCATTTTTTGTTTTTCAGAAGTTCTTTGCTTATTCTGGGTATATATCCTTTCCAAATAAAACTACGTATAATACTTCCTATCTTTTTGGAAAAGGAATCTGCTATATTTTTGGGGGGGATTTTGTTGAACAGGTAGATTTCTTTGGGTGTGGTTGTCATATGATTGTTGTGATGCATCCAATGCAATAATGGTTACCCATGGCGGACAGTGTTTGGTGGAGCTACCCGATTAAAACAAGTTTGGAAGCAGGAGTGGCGTCCCCTTCCAAAATAGCTTGCCTCCAGAAACCCTATGTACTTGGAGAAATGATGAACGTTATATAAATGTCCAGGTCTTTTGTTCATAGAGTCTCTATGAGTCGTCTGCAACTCGATGGCACTTAACAAAAACAAGATCCATAAATGAGAAACATTTTTCCATCAAGTTAGGTTTCTTATTTTTTCTTGAAGAATGCGTCTCTGTTGTTGTTGTGTTCCATAAAATAGAAACAGACCCATATATGACCCTCCAGCTGGTTTTCTGAGACAGTTAATCACTTACAAGAAGAATGCCCATCCTATTGTTAAGCTTATTCCCAAGTGTTTCAACAGGCAGATTCATCAAAAACTTGTTTTATTCAGGTAACACAATCTTGCTTGCAGAAACTGAGGTGGGCCTGAAGTGTTTGCTACAGACCATCAAGGACTATAGTGCTGAACACTTAGCACCAAGAAACAAAGATTTTTACCACTTGGCCAATTGGCAGCACCATGACAGATGGAGAAGAGGTGAAAATTTTCACTTACTTAGTTTCGCAATCAATACTTTGGCTCCCGTAATCAGGAAATCTAAAGATGACGTGCTTTAGGAAAATCTGTTGCCAAAGACATCTCTAAAGCGCTCTAAAAAATCAACAATTTCAGTCTAGAGACTAAGGTGTATTTGATCAGGGCAATGGTCTTTGCAATTTCTTGTTCTGCATCAGAGAGCTGATACAAGAAGATGATAGAAGCTGATGATAGAAGAAGAATTGATGTTTTTGAGTTATGGTACTGGAGAACGGTATGGAATATTCCACGGACCATCAAGAAACAACCAGATCTGATTTGGAGAGGGTGAAATCAAGTTGCTCCTTGGAGGCAAGTATTTTCAAGGTCCATCTCACATACTTTGTGCATGTTGCCAGGAGGGACCAGTCCTTGGATACAGCACAAGAGAGAAAGATTCAAGAGGAGATGGATTGGCACAGTGATGGGCGTAATGGGGATAGATGTGTTGTGAGATTTACTTAAGATAGGGCAGGATTCGGAGCGATGGTTCATAGAGTGGTTTTGAGTCACAATTGATTCAAGGACACATAAAAACAATAATGACAGTAAATGGAGCTGCACTCTCAGTTTCCTTCTCTCTGTTTTCTTTGCTCCTGTAGAGAAATCCCATTGATTTTTAGTATTGATCTTATCTTGTTTTCAGACCTACTGAATTGATCTATTAGGTCTAACAGATTTTTTGTTCAGTCCTTGGGGTTTTCTGTGTACACTATCACTTTGTATATGGCGCGAGTTTGTCAGCTTGATGACTCTTATTTCCTTCTCTTGTCTTATTTCCCCTGTAAATACTTTCAATATTTAATAGGAATGGTAGAAATGGGAACCCTTGTCTAATTTCTTCATTGAGAATGATGTTGGGTTTGTTTTTTTTTTTTAGTCTTAAGTGTATACTTTTCACTATGTTGAGGACATTCTCTTCTATTCCTATTTTGCTGTGTGTTTTAATCAAGAAGAGGTTTTGGATTTTGCTGAAAACATTTCCTGTATCAGTTGACAGATCATGTGGTTCTTGTTCTGTGCTTTGTTAATGCAATGGATTGCATTGATTCGTTTTCTTATGTTGAATCATCCTTACATACCTGCTATGAATAGCACAGGAAAGAAGACTCTGAATGAGTTGTATTGACATTTCAAAAAAAGAAATTTCAGCCCTGTAATTATTATGATCCATAAGTACTCTTGAATAGAAGGTTCTTTATAAGATTTACACAATATGTAATGTTGTTGTTATGTGCTGTCAAGTAGACTAAGACTCATAGAGACCTATGAACAATAGCTGTGGAAATGGGGACAGGTATATTGGAGACAGCCAGAATGTTTCAGGATAGAGCAGGATTCAGAGCTACTTTCTAACCAAAGAATAAAATCTCATAGAGTGTTTTGTTTTATCTCAGTATCAGCTACCCTTTTTCTGCCATTATTTTTTTCTTGTACAATTTAACTTCTCTGATAATTTACTTTTATACACAACTTAAATAAGAATGATGAGTGGATACAATGGTATACCATTTTTACTGATTTAATTCTACATAGTATTCTCATGTTCTATTCTAACAATTGTCTCTTGATCTATTCAGGGGTACTTCTTGAGCATAACTCTTTCTCTCCCTTAGTGTCATTAAGTCAGAATTGACTCATAGCTAATCCTTCAGTAGATATCCAATACATTTAAGTGTAATGGCATTCTCATTCTTTACAAGTTTATCAATAATTTATTAGAATCCAAACAGTTGAATATCTGTATGAATTCAATAATATAAAAGTAAACATATTTCTAGTATTTTCTACTTCCAGTCAAGGTCCGTAAGATACCAGCTATATATAATACTCTTTGTTGTATATCCTCTTTGGGATCTAATTTGAATTTTTGTTAGTTCTCTGCTCCTGTACTGTTGGAACTGTATTTACGATATCTTTAGCAAACATTACTTTTGTGTGATATTAATCATGTTGTTCAATAATTATTATATTCTATTGGATCACTTTTCTTTGGTGATAATCCCTGATGATTAGTACGTTTTTCCTGTACATATACCTTTGTTTATTATTTTTATATACTGTCATACAATATAGGCAATCTCTGGGTTATGTATATATGATTGAGACACAGCCCACAGTTAGGATAAGCCATCTCTAAATCTTATGATACTAAAAACTCAATAGATATAATAACAGTTTGAATAACAAGCAATATGAATCATATCTAAACAATATTAATAATAATTTATTATGATGTGTGAAAGGAGCAGTGGTAACATAAGGATGGCTGAGACTGACTTCCACCTGTTCCATAACAAGAACTTTATACACCATTCATACCCATTGTTGTTATATGATGTCAAGTTACTTAACTAAATAGTCAGGCATGCTACGCAATGTGCTTCTGCACTTACTTTTAAAATATTTACTTATTTATCTATCTATTTATTTATTTATGTATTTAATTACTTATGTATTTATTTTATTTTATTTTATTTTTAGGCATTTATTCACCAGTAAGGATCTGGGATCCCGGTGGATTCTGAAGAGGTCTCACTCTATAGATGTTTTGATTTCTGGTTCTGGTGAGACTCTGGGGTATTGTTTACTGGCCATTGATGGTGAGTTGACTGTATTCAGTCACCTATTTAAAAAGGCATTTGGGCCCTTGAGCCTGGTTTAAATTGTTTTTGGTCAAACATTTTTCTAAGTGGTATAGCACTAGTCTGTCCATATGCTATACAGTGATAACTCAGGATTGTTGTGATGCTAAATACTGTGACACTGATGTGTCAAATGTGATAATAGTTACCCATGGTGCACAGTGTTTGGTGGAGCTTCCCAATTAAAACAAGCTTGGAAGCAGGAGTGGCATCAACTTCCAGAATAGATTGCCTCCAGAAACTCTATGAATGTGGAGAAACAGTTAAAGATTATAAATGTTCAGGTCTTTCATTCATAGTGTCGCTATGAGTCATCTATAACTTGAGGACACTTAACAACAGCAACAATGAGAGAGCTCTGCTGGCCTAGTGGATAGAAAGTTATACTACCAAGCCAAAGATGGGTGATTTTAATCTACAGCCCTCAGGTCTGGTTCTAATTGTTTTTGGTCAAACATTCTTCTAAGTGATTCAGCACTGGTCTGTCCATATGCTGTACAGAGGTAACTCGTTCTTGCTATGAAGCTAAACACTGTGACATTGATGTGTTAATGTGATAAATGTTACCCATGGTGGACAGTGTTTGTTGGAGATACCGATCAAAACAAGCTTGGAAGCAGGAGTGGCATGTACATCTGAAATAGCTTGCCTCTGGAAACCCTATGAACTTGGAGAAATGATGAAAGTTATACAAATGTTCAGGTCTTTTATTCATAGGGCTGCTATGAGTAGTTTACAGCTTAAAAAAACTTAACAACAACATTTTATTTTTACTTATCACTGTCTTCAATGACTGTTGGAAGATTCTTGGACTTTACTCACAGTTGTGTGTTTGTTAGGGAAACAGGTTAGATAGTAGAGGAGGCAAAGAGTATCTCACAACACAAGTCCAGGTTTAGTCCAGCAGTCCCAAGACAGATTACAAGGAATAATTCTTCAGTTAGTGAAGGTCTAAGTTTGATTCAGCAGGACAAATGCATAAATTCTCTGGTTTCCTCAATAAACCATCAAACTGTATCTCAGAGCAGTTATAAGTCATCCGTTTTTTCAACAATCTAGCAAGCAAAACCTTTAACGGTGGTATTTATCTCTACGGTTCCTCTGGTTAACCCTTGTCACAGTTTTTTCACAGTAGTGTCACATTTGCTTCACATCTTCTCCACCACTGTCACCACCGTATTTTAAAGTGTGGGAAGCACTGTCTTATATTGGTCCAACAGCTGTTGATGATTTGAAAGACTATCGGTCCACAGTTAAGAGACCTGGACATCATTTCCCCCAACGAGGGCTAAAGTAATGGATAAAAAAAGCCACTTTTCAAGGTCTCTAACAACTCATTGTGTTAAAAATATCTCAGTCTATCAAATCATCTGATTGTCAACAAACTCTCCCTTACTCTGAGAAGAATGGGAATTCCTGTACACTTGATTATGGTTATGAAAAACCTACATTTGGACCTGGAGGCAGTTTTCAGAACAGAGCAAGGGAACATTGCATGGTTCAAAATTAGGAATGGTGTATGCTAGTGAAGTGCCTATTCCCATACCTTTTCAATCTATATGCAGCAGAAATCATGTTAGAGGCTTGCCTCTTTGAGGAGAAGTGTGACATCAGGATTGGAGGAAGACTCATTGGCAATACACTTATTAAGGCAGATGACAGAACCCTGCTTGCTAAAACTGAGGAGGACCTTAAGTGCTTTCTGAAGAAGGTCAAGGTCTGCAGCCTTAACTATGGATTGAAGCTCAACATTAAGAAAACAAAAATTCTCTCCACTGGGCCAAATGACAGCACTGTGATAAACAGTGATAAGACTGAAATTTTAAATAGCTTCAGTTTACTTGGCTTCACAATCAATGTTTTGAACCAACAGTCAGGAATTTAAAAGAGGAATTATATTGGAAAAGTCTGCTGTCAGGGACTTCTCCAGAGTAGTACAGAGCAATGATGTCAGTCTAGAAGCTAAGGTGTGCCTGATCCAAGCACCAATCTTTGTAATTGATTGATATCTGAAAGAAAGCTGGACAATTACTAGAAATGATAGAAGGAGAATTGATGTCTTTGAGTTGTGATGCTAGAGAAGAAAGAGTATTGAATATGCAGTGGGTTGCTGTTGTTGTTGTTGTTATGTGCCGTTGAGTCGTTTCCGACTCATAGCGACCCTTTGCACAACAGCCCTAAACCCTGCTCTGTCCTGCGCCAAACGCACCGCCTCTGACACACCCATCCCGATTACCCCAGTCACCGAATCAATCCATCCCATAGAGGGTCTTCCCCTCCTGCGTTGTCTCTCAACCCTCCCAAGCATGATGTCCCTCTCCAAGGACCCGTCCCTCCTGGCAACATGTCCAAAGTATGTCAGACGAAGCCCCAGAATCCTTGCCTCCAAGGAGTAGCTTAGTTTAATCCTCTCCAAGATAAATCTGTTTGTTTTCCTGGCAGTCCAGGGTACATTCAGTGGGTTGATGCTTTCAGGGTACATGATGATTTAGGGTACATGCTTTTGAGTGGGTTGCTAGGAGTTGAAAAACCAATTCAAGCCATGAGTGATAATACTTAAGGATGCTTTGGGCAGAATGTTAAATGATCCAAGAAGCATTAAAAGAAGATGGAAAGGGTACACAGAGTCACTATAGCAAAAAGAATTGGCTGACATAGAAGAATTTAATGAAATAACATATGAGCACGAACCTGTGGTGATGAAAGCAGAAGTTCAAGTTGCTCTGAAAGAACTGACAGGAAATAAGGCTCTGGGAGTTGATGGCATACCAGTTTACATATGTCAACAAACAGAGGCTGCCCTGGATTGAAGCTCAGCATCAAGAAAACAAATACTCTCACCACTGGGCCAACTGGCAGCATCACTATGGATGGTCAAGAGATTGAGATAGTTAACAGTTTTAGTACTTGGCTCCACAGTCAACACTCTTGGTAACAGCAAAAGATGAATTGCATTGGGAGATTCAGCTGTGAGGGACCTCTCAAGAGAACTGAAGAGCAATGACGTCAGGCTGGAGACTAAGGTGTGCCTGATACGGGATATAGTCTTCGCAACTACTTGCTATGCATCAGAGAGTTGGACAATGAATAGGGATGATAGAAAGAGAATTGTTGCCTTTGAACTGTGGTGATGGAAAAGAGTATTGAATATACTGTGTACTTCTAGGAGAACAAACTGGTTTGTCCTGGAGAAGGTGAAGCCTGGCTGCTTCTTGGAGTCAAGGATTCTGAAACTTCATCTGACATACTTTGGGCATGTTACAAGGAGGGGCTGGTCCTTGGAGAGGGATATCATGTTTTGGAGTAGAGGTACATCACAGAAGAAGAATCTCAATGAGATAGATCGATTCTGTGATTGGGGTGATGGGAGTGAATGTGTTGGAGATGGTGAGGTTGGCACAGGATAGAGCAGGGTTTAGGGCTCTTGTACATAGGGTCACTATGAGTCGCAAGTGACTCAAAGGCACATAACAACAATAACAACAGAGTCACAGAGTCAGTCACTAGGAGTTGGTGTCAATTTACCAATAGTGCATTTTTGTTATTGTTGTTACTTGTTTTTAATGAGAAACATTTGATTACTTGATATTAAATATAAAATATACCTGTTGTGATTTATACAAAAATTAGACTCACATAATATGAATAGAACTCATGTGTAATCTGAGAACTGCCTGCAGTTTTCTTTATATGATAAACTGCTTTGTATTTCTGTTCTTTCTCCTAGTTCCTTAAAAAGTATGTAGGATCTTAAAAACTTACAAGTGGACAAAGGCATAACACTCAATTTCTATTCAACTGGAATAATAAAGCAAGGAGGAGAATAAGTAATAAGAGAAATAAAATGCTTGACTAAATGCATCTACTAACATATTCTGACTCCTCTACCATAAGACTCAGATAACAACATTGTGCATGGCTACTATTACTGCAAATTTTGTTCAAAGTTTTCATAAATTATCATGATATATGGGAAAAGAAAGAATATTAAATTCTCATGAACTTCAGAGCCATTGAAGGTAGAAGAACCAGTGAAAATATGAACATTAGGGGTAAATAAATTAATGTTAATGGAAGAGGAACTTGGAAAAGGAGTGTAAGAACACCGTAAAATTCCAAGAACATAATCAGAGTTATTAAATTTTACATGTTCCGGCACTGGCTGAAAATCGCCTGTGACTTCATCCATAGCCACTGGTGAGAGTCAGCGCCCAGAGCCAACAGGGGCTTTAAGCTCGTTGCCCACTGCTGTGATGTGGACAGCTGAAACCCAGGCCCCGACAGGTACCTGGTGGTGGGGGGGGGGACCCAGACTCTACTTCATGCTCTGCTGGAGAAGGAGGGGCAGTCTCCTGTACCAGTCAGATCCAATTTGACGGTACACACACACACACACACACACACACACACACACACACACACTTTTCTTCATCTTTTTTTAAAAAAGACTACTTCAGCCATT